TGGGGATTTTAAGAAATGCTAAGGGTGCAGCTACAGCATACAGATGCTATGTGTGGGGGAGGGGAGCCAACTCATTCAGATTCACCCAGGAATCTCCTGGTTTCACAGCTAGAGGCTGTACATCCAGGAAAAGCCCTTAGTTCTGGGCAAATTGGGACAGCTGGTCACTATAGCATGGGGACCTGTCTCTTGGTCATTTGGAAGAATTTCTGTTCTGTATATTCTGAAACATTTCAAAAACCTCTTTGAATCTCTGAGCCAGGTTTACGTTCCTGTTCAAAGGTTAGGATAGGCGAGTGCAACTAGTATTCCAGAAATATCCACTGGAAATGAAATTATGAGACTGTAACTTAGGATGCTGAAAAAGATAAGTTAGAGTAGCCAAATGCAGGATAGTTAAATGTGGGTACTGTTATGCTTCTAGCCTAAGACATCTGCATGGAAAGTTAAAAAGTCCAAATAATTGGCTTTTTTTTTTTTTTATAGACATGGCTCTAAACTTTCTACCCTTTTCTAAACTTTCTACCTGAGTACCATGAACATGACATTGACTGGTTCAAAACACAGGCATAGATTCAAATCCCCACTCTATCACTTACTGTGTGACTTTGGGAATTTGAGAATTTACTTAAACTCTCTACTTCTTAGTTTCCTTATCTTTAAAACAAGACAACTGTAAAAATTAAGAAATAAAAATGTAAAAGATTCAGTATCTATACCTGGAATATAATAAAGTGCTAAAATATAGCCATTATAGTTGTGTATTTTTTTCACTTTTACCTGAGTATGATGGTATTATGTAGATATAGCTTGAGACTAATTAGAAAATCATAGTTCCTTATTATAATTGAGCATCCATGAATGACAAAAGACTATCTTTAATGATATAACCATTAAAAAGGGCTTATAAAACTTTAATTGCTAAAGTAAATATATAGGAAATACCCTTTATCTCATCCTTCTTCTACAGTAGCAGAATCACATTTTCTATGAGTGTGGCTGTACCCTCCCCAAGTTCAATGGCCTATGCAGCTGTTACCAGGAAAAGGACAGGAAAGGAAATTAAATTTTTCCAAAAATCGGGAAGAGAGTATTAAGGAAACAGTAATATCTTATGAAGGAAGAGAATGAAAGAAGTTGGTTTTGAGTTGTGCTTTTCAGAAAAGCAAAGAGAAATTACTGGGAAGGAGCTTGAGCAATTCATTAAGGGCGTATTTCCTGTCCCTTCTCTTCCCACCCCGACCCCTGTCTCCCACCACACTTTGTTCCTCTGATTAGAAAAGTTATTGAGAAAATAGGAGCCTGAATTACCAAGTTTGGAAGCATGGTTGATAGTCACCTAAAAGACTGGCAAGCTGCCATTTATTTTAGCTACAAAAGTTGAACAAGATAACATCATATGTTCAAGATGTTATTTTTCAAAATATCGATTAAAGGGTAAAACCAAAGTATGCCAATTAACACACATCAGTATTCTTTTGATTCTTTAATATATCTTTATTTTTCTATATACTTTAATCTGTTAGATAAATATTTCTGACTCAACAGAGCTTTAGTAGGAAAAAACTGCCGCTGTGGTCTTGAACTAAGAGGTCAGAAAGAATGTAAGGAGGAGAGAAAAAATATGTATTGAATACCTCTGCATGCTTCTCTATAATCATTATCTCATGAATAGTCACAGTATCTCTGAACTTATATGAGTCTATTTTAAAAAAAATAAAAATAGAAGCCAGAGAAATTAAATAATTTTCCAAAGTCAGAAACTAATAATAATGGTTATGCTAGCTAATATTTATTGCATTATCTTATCAATTCACAAACCCTATAGGTTGGATGCTATTATTTGTTCAGTTTTAAAATGAGAAAAGAAGGTAAGTAACTTGCCTGGAGTCACACAGCTGGCAAGAAGATCTAATAACATTAACCCACATGGTCTGCCTGTTAGCGTTTGCTCCTTCACTATGCCATTCTATCTTAGAAGGCCCATTTAGTTCATTCCTACCAGAGGAAAATGCTTAGAATACAATTCAACACATAGCTGGTGCTCAATGAATGTTATCATTAGGCTGAATCTGTCTTGTTTTTTCTCCCCTAAGGAACTCATAATACAGAAAGGAGAATGAGTTTAGGCTGTATAATAATTTTCTGTCATTTCCTTTTCAATTGGGTACTGTACTCCAAATGGTGACAGAATGGAAGTATCATTTTTCATTATTATTCTGTTTATCCCACAAATATTCTATGGGCCTTAGATTATGAGCCTACTGATGAAATAAAACAACAAAGAAGTCAACCATGAAATAAGTATTAATAATCTGCTAGCAAGGAATACCTCACAGGGCCCCAATAATTACCAGAGAGATTTTTTTTTATTACTTGAAATACAACTCAAATCTTTTCTTTATTTTGTGTTTATCTATACTCTGTTTGACCTCATGTAGTCCCCACAGGACCTATATGGGATAGGATGCTAAGCCTGCCTTCACAGATAAAGGGACAGTCACTTGTGGAAATCAAGGTGCTTGCTCAAGCTCACAGAAACTACATCTCCTGACCTGAAGCTCATTGGTCTCTCCATGAGCTGACAATTTCCTAGTTGCATAAATTCAAAGCCTATTGTCAAATCAGAGCCCTATACATTCTCCAGACCGAAGCCTGTTTCTTGACCCAGAATTCATTAATTGTAGGAAAAGCTGGGATTCCAGGAGGAAGGACATTGCAACAAAGTCTATGACAAGTAGATAATTATACCCTGAATTTTTACCCAAAGAGAACCATGGCGGTATTTAGGTAATAGTACACTGGGGTATATGTTTTAAGCATTGTTGGACACTTGATACAAGCTGACATTGTTAAGTAGGAACATGAAGCATTTGTATGGTCTTCTCCTGTAGCAGGGTCATAGGGGAGGTGCCTAGGTGATGTATGGGGGGATTATGGCCCAGGCCTGGTTCACAGTGGGTCTGGGGAGTCCATGGACCCACCCAACAGTCATTTCCCCAGCTGCTAGTATTTAATTGGAGCACACATACATGTTAGTTAGCATAACTCCCTACATACTGTTCATTGGACAGTAGAGTAAGAATTACCATGGTGGAGAAAGCCAAGTGGAAGCTCTGAAAACCTGTCATCACCACCACCAGCAGCCAAAAGAGTAAATCAAGACCAGTATCTAATTAATTGAAGACCATGTGTTCATAGGGGAGAGGAAACAGGGTTAGCTCTTGAAATGTTCTAATAACATGAGCCAGATTGAAATCTATTTCACAAGTTAGGAAAGCTCTCTCCATTGCTACAGAAATTCTGAAATTTAATTTTGGGAGTTAGTTACTTTTGTCTTTTTCTTTCTATATGTCCTTAGATATTCTGACACAATCCAATGTATATAAATCTTAGATAATATCTGTTAATATTTTTCTTTTAAAAAATTCATTTTTATCTCTAGCTAACGCAAATGTGATACTATCACTCATTTTTCATTAGTTTTTAGGTCAGTGAAAACTTTGGATATGTACTCACAAAGGCTTTTTCTAGAAACCATGAGTAGGAGTAAAGCCCTGTGAAATTTTAAATGGCGAGTCCAGAGTTTGGACAAAGTACCCAAATCATACCAATGGCATAATGATTCAATTTTCCATATAAAAAGAATAATCCTTAGAGGAATTTTGTCCTGAAAAAAATAATTTGTCCTTTTGTCCTATGTTCTGAAAGAAATAATATCATTCATGCATAAACACAGCTATCTACATTTTTATTTTTATTATTTTAGACAAGAATGTAAAATGATCATTCAATATATTTGTAGCTACAGGTTCAAAACTGTATTAGGCTCTATAGGGAATTAACTATATAATATATGCTCTCAAAGAACCAACAAGTGACCTGCTTATTTAGATTACTATCTAAGTAGTATTAGGGTACATAGTTATATTTAAAATAAATTTGGAGTTCTAAAAGCACTAAAACAATTACAGAAATATAAAAGAGTTAGAATGTGGTGTCACACTGAATGGATCCAACCCCACATGTCTTCACTATGTTGTTTTAGTTGGTCTTTCACCTCACTGAGCTTCACCTTCCCTCTCTGTAAAATAGGTTTTGTGAAGTTTAATTGAGATCAAATAGAACACTTAGCACAGACCCTGGCACACAGTGAGTACTCAGTGAATATTAGCTTTTATTTTGCATACTATTTTTTGTTGGGGAAACAGTCTCAAGTGAAAGAGAGGAATATTGGTAGTCAACAAATTAGGTTCTTTCAGACACTAAGAAAAAACTTCAAAGCTGGAGTCCTTTTCAAATTCCCCACCAGCAGCTCCTACAAATACTGAGTCTGGTGACGTTTAACATCAAATACAATTAGTACAGTACAACACAAAAACCTGATCCCCCCCCAGAAACCCTTTGAATCCCTAAGCCCTCTTCTTTTATTCTGCTATAACCAAGATCATCATCAATCATCCCACCACTCAATTTTCTTCAATCCTATCTTATCTTAAAAAAAAAAAATTATGTGCTATACAATCTGCTTCTTATTTCTGCTGTGACTTTGTCATCAGGGTCCTGGCGACAGATGGTATAAAGCAGCAGGATGTTTAGAACACGGAAAGCTCAACAGGGCCCTGCTTAACCAACCAATATGAAAGGGACCACTTCCTAAATCAGGGAGAAGTGACAGATGTCAGTCGCATGCAAGTCTCATACTCTCCCTTCCCTTTTGCCCTTTTGTGTGCTTTAGAAATGAGCCCTGAAATTAAAAGTCTCCATGCGCCTTGAAAGAAGACATAACATGCATTGTTAAAACGCATCTATCCTTTAAATATTTTGATTCACTGGCAGACAGTTTGCCAAAGTAACAATTTTTGGCGAAGTGGCCATTGAAAGTAAGTTGTTAGTGAACATTTTCACTTCTTCTATTAACTAAATAATAAAGCTAACGTTTGGTGAAATTATGATTAACTCCTGAAGCTTAGAAAAGTTATAGTGATCAGGTTTCTTACCTACGACAATGCCATAGGAAAAAAACAGGAAGTAGATATTAGGGGCAAAACCGCTCAACATTAGGCCTCCGGCCACCATGAAGCCACTGAAGATCGTCACAGGTCTGGCTCCAAAAGATGAGACACAGAGGCTGCAGATAGGACCTAAAAAAAATAAACGAAACCTTCACTTATTTAACAGTAATCTCCTTTTCACAATCATATTATTCATCTCATCATAAGCTTAAAATGATTCTTTCCATCATAAAATAACAAAACTAAAATAATAATAAACATCTACTGCATAGTTACTATGTACTAGACACTGTGAGTACTTTACATAAAAAAACCTCATTTCATTTTAATCTTACTGCAACCCTGAGAAGTAGATACTATTGTTATCCTCATTTTTTTTGATAAGGAAATTAAAATTTCAGGATGATAAGATGACATGTTTAAGAAACGGTGGTTCTGGAGTCAAACTTTCTTCAATCTTGAGCTCTACTCCTTTCTGGCTCTTTGATCTCAGACAACTTATTTGATCTCCGTGCCTCAGTTTCTTCATCTAAAAATTCAATTAATAAGAGCAGCCCCCTCACAGTGTTACTGTGAAGACAAATGAGAGCACAGATGTAAAGCTGATCACAAGGCCTGACACAGATGCCCAATCGGTGCTTGTTCAGTGATGTGAATGGCGGCAGTAGCCGCCACCAAAACAGTAACAGAGTAAAATCCCAGTTAGTCTGACTCCTGAGCCCATGGTCTTAACCCTTATATTCTGAGGAGTTTTATCTCCTCCATGTCCCATGCATGCTTCCCATCCAGAGCTCTTTTTTAGCACTAGGACAGTCATACAGCTTGTGATGAAAACAGATGTGTTCATTGACTGAATACAAACAATAGTGACTCTGTAGAGGGAAGAGGTGGGGGTGGGGTAGTTATTCTCTTCCTAGAGAATATTCTGGCAAGTGGGGCCAAATGGAAATCCACTCTACTCATCCAGGTATGTGTCAGTCTGTACCATTGTCCTACAGTCCATATATAACCTGGAATCCAGGGGAGGAAGCACATTGTTGATTGACAGGCAAAAGTGACCATTGCCTGGGCCTGTTCTATGCACCAGTGGGCAACTTCTCATATAACAGTATTTAAGTACTAGTGAAATTCTTTTCCACTAGTGAAATTCTTCTCCACTTATGACTACAGAACTTAGCATAGTAGAAGTAAAAATATACTAAGGGTTAATCAGCCCAATAGTCTCATTTATATGGAAGGAAATTAAAGCTCAGAGAGGTTGTCCAAGCCCATTGTAGAAGAAAGAGCTCAGGATTTGGAAGCAAAGAGAAGTATACCTTTATCAAATTGACAACACTTCAACAATAAGGTACAAGTTATTATCTCCAATTTTTAAAAAGCACACTCACCAGATGGCTAACAGCAGACAAAAGTGTTAAAAAGGATGTAGAGCCATAAGAACTCTTATGAGCTCCTGACTTTTATCTCCTAAAGCTGAACACAGCACACTGTGTAACGCAGAAGTTCCACTTCTATGTAATACATCAAATAGAAACCAATAGATACACCCAATAGAAATATCTACCTAAAAAGTTATATACATAAATGCTCATAGCAGAACTATTCATAGTAACCAAAACCTAGAAACCCAGATGTTCATCAGCAGTCGAATGCATAAGTAAATTTTGGTATGGATTATTGTATGGCAGTGAGAATGAATGACCTACAACTACACATAGCAATACAGATGTATCTCCCAAACATTGTGGAGTGAGGGACACCAAACACAAAAAAGTACACATCATGTAATTACTACTATAAAAAGCACCCCCCAAAAGACAAAGCTGATCTCTGATTAGAAGTCAGAACAGTGGTTATCTTTGGTGGGAGGTGAGGCGTTACCAGAAGGGAGGACAGCCCGACTTCCCGGGCCCTGCTAGCGTCCTGTTTCTTGCTGTGAATGAGCTCATTTCACAGGTGTATTCAGTTTGTGAGAATTCCATTGGGCTATACCCTTGTGAAATATATACTTTCCTCTCTGTATATATTTTTTTACTTCAACTTAAAAAAATTTTTCAGGAACCTCAAACAGAGAAATGGTGCAATCTGCCAATAGTCTTGTAAGTATCTGGCAGAGCCAGAATCCAATGACCCCGAGCCCAGCTTTCTTGCCCATTCCGGTAGTCACCCTGATCCACAGTTTCCCTTCAGGCAGTTTCAGTTATCATCAGTCAACCATGGTCTGAAGACATTAAATGGAAAATTCCAGAAATAAACAATTCATAAGTTTTAAATTGTATGCCATTCTGAGTAACATAATGAAATCTCTCGCCATCCTGCTTTATCCCACCGAGGAGCTGAACCAACCCTCTGTCCAGAGTATCCACACTGTGTATGCTATCCATTAGCATATACATTAGTCACTTAGTAACCATCTTGGTTATCAGCTTGACTGACTCAGTATCATAGTACTTGTGTTCAGGTAAACCTATCTTCTTAATAACGACCCCAAAGCGGTCCACATAACTATTATTACAGTATATTGTGATAATTGCTCTATTTTATTATTAGATAGTGTTACAATTACTCTCTTTTATTAGTAGTAAATGTTATCTTTTAATGTGCCTAATTTATAAATTAAACTTTATCACAGCTATGGATGTATAAGAAAAATGTAGTATATATAGGGTATGATGCAGTCTGGAGTTTCAGGTATCCAGTGGGACCCTCGGAATGCACCCACCATGGATAAGGGGGAGCTACTATACCAGAGAGTCTTTTAAGTGCATGTTTAAGACCAGGTTATGACGACTAAGACAGCACATGGCTCTCAATGCCTGTGGCTCTCTCATATTCCTCCCTCGTCATGAACTGGCTCCTGCATTTAAGGTCCTCTGTAGTGTGTTAGTACAGAAGAATACACTGATATATTTATATGACAAACAGGAGAATATTCTGTGCCAGTGTTTTAAAAGGAAAATATATTTGAAATACCAACCTTTTCCAATAGTTGGGCCATCTATCTACCCAGTCAGAAATAATTTAGATACTTCAAAGATAGAAATGATTGTAAGACTCAAATCTCATAACTGGCTGTGTGACACCGTAAAGGCATGACCTTTCTCTATTGTTTACCAAATTTCATTGACATTGAGAGTCAGGGTTTACAAATTAAGCACAATGGAATTAAAATACAGAGATTATTATTGACATACTTGAAAAGTTTCCAGCTTCATCCTAAAAGTAAGACTTCAAATCTATGCTCCTTAATGCATGTTATTAACTCCACAAGGAAATCTAAAGTTTGCAAAGCTGCAAGTGGGGATGAAGGGTAATGATTTCCACAGCATGTACAACAAAACCCACTGTTTTATAAAATACATAATTTGTTATCAATTATCTAATAAATTCTTAAAGCATTTTTGCCTGTTACATGAAACTTTGAAAAAAGTTAAGCTTAAGAAAAAAGTGAGTAGAAATTACTTGACAGATGAAAACAGCAAATTGAAAACTGTTTTTAAAAAACTCTCTACTTTTGCCCTGCCAACTGCTGCTTGCTTCAGAGAAAAGCTGGCATCATTTTTTAAAATTTATTTTTATATAGATGTAGTTGGTACATTGGTTCTGTTAGTTTCAGGGTACAATACAGTGATTCAACATTTTTGAACTCTAAAATATGATAACCCCACTAAGTCTAGTAGTCGTCTGTCACTGTGTAAACTTATCATAATAGTGTCAACTATATTCCCCTTCCTTTTTTCATCCACTCCCCCACACACTCCCTTCTGATAACCATTTCTTTGGTGTCTGTTTCTATGAGTCTGTTTTTATTTCATTCTGTTTTTAGATTCCATATGTAAGTGAAATTTTATGGTATTTGTCTCTGTCTGACTTATTTCACTTATCACTTATGCTCTAGGTCCATCCAAGTTGTCACAAATGGCAAGATTTCATTCTTTTTCATTGCTCTGTAATATTCCATTACATATATCACATCTTCTTTATCCATTCATCTATCAGTGGACATCTGGGTTGCTTCCATATCTTAGCTATTATAAATAAGGCTGCAATAAACATAGGGATGCATATATCTTTTCACATTACCATCCTCATTTTCTTAGGATAAATACCCTAAAGTGGAATTTCTGGGTAGTATGACATATCAATCAATTTTTAGTTTTTGAGGAATCTCCATACTGTTTTCCACAAGGTCTGCACCAGTTTGCTATCCCAGCAACAGTGCACAAGTGGTCCCTTTTCTCTACATCCTCACCAGCACACATTATTTGTTGACTTTTTGATAATAGCCACTCTAAATGGTGTGAGGTGATATTTCATTGTGGTTTTGATTAACATGTCTCTGATTATTAATGATGTTGAGCATCTTCTATGTCTGTTGGCCATCTGTACATCTTCTCTGGAGAAACATCTCCATGTCCTCTGCCCACTTTCCCACTGGATTTTTTATTTTATTTTATTTTTCTGTTATTGAGTTGTATGAATTTATTATATATTTTGGATACCAATGCCTTGTCAGATATATATCATTTATGAATATACTCTCTCAGTCAGTAAGGTTGCCTTTTTGTTTTGTTGAAGGTTTCCTTCACTGTATATAAGCTTTTTAATTTTATGTAATCCCATTTGTTTCGTTTTTTTCTTTGGGTTCCCTCATTCAAGGGGACATTTCCAAAAAGATATTACTCAGACAGTTAGATAGTTTACTTCTTATTTTATTCTAGGAGTTTTATGGCTTCAAGCCTTACATTTAAGTCTTTAATCTATTTTGAGTTTATTTTTGTATATGGTGTAAGAGAATGGTGCTGGTTTTTGTTTTTTGGTGGGTTTTTTTTTTTTTTTTGTTTTTGGTGTGTGTGTGTGTGTGTGTGTGTGTGTGTGTGTGTTTGGTTTTTTTGCATGTACCTGTCCAGGTTTCCCAACACTAGTTGTTCAAGAAACTGTTATTACTCCAGTATATATTTTTTACCTCCTTTATCATAGCTTAGTTGACCATATAAGCAAGGGTTCATTTCTGGGCTATTTTGTTCCATTGATCTATGTGTCTGTTTTTGTGCCAGTACCATACTGCTTTAACTATTATAACTTTGTAGTATAGTTTACAACCAGGGCACATGATGTCTCCAACTTTG